TGTTTGCTCTAATCGTATGATTTCTGGTCTAGGATGTTGGAGTTCTACGAACATGTCGTGGTGGACGATGCCCGTAGAACACGTTTTGGAGTTCCGCGAACATGTCGTGGTGGGCCTGTAGGGATGCCGGGCCGGCTGGCCTCGGCTCAACGAGCGCAGCCTCTGCACGGGGGACGGGGTGAAGGCCTTCCTTCAAGACATGATCCTTTCGGAAGCCCGGGTGCACGCCCCAGAGGCCCAGCAACTGCCCCACGCGTTTAGTGAGATTCCAGGATCTCCTTCTCGAAGCTCGGTCCTCGCACTTTGAGCCCCGATCTTCGATGGGCGCCTTTCCTTGCTACATGGGCGCCTTCGGCGCCGTGGGGCGCCGGGATAGCCGGCCACGTGAGCGCGCTCGCCAGCCCTGGCTCGTCTTCCAGGACCTCCCCGAGCGACCAACGAGTCCGGTCAGATTCGCGCCTTCTTCCGCGCCATGCCCCAGCGGACGCGGGCGGGCTCCCTCGACACCGCCGGGTGCTCGCGCGCCTCTCTGTGGGCTGTGCACTGGCAGCCCCTGGCCCCTGGCATCCCGTGGCGGCGCCTCTGGCGCCGCCCCTGGCACGCTCCGCGCGCCGGGGGGGGCCGGGGAGGGCTCGGCGCCGACCCAAGCTAGCAACAAACACTCAGGAGGGGGAAAAGCACAGACACAATGAACCGTCCACTCCCAGGAAAATATGGGCAAGTATGGGCAGTGGGGGGGAAGACAAAAACCCTGAAAATATGGGAAAATATGGGGAATGATTTTATTTGTTTGTGTATTTATTTGTCTGTCCTGGGGCCCCTTCAAAAATTAGCCTGGCGAAGGACCCAACCATATGCAGTTGAGAGTACCGCAATTGTGAATATCTTCTTCGGTGGCGCTCCCTATGGGGCCACGAGCCGTATGAGGGGTGTGCCGAAATGCGTGGCAGTGTACACAACACGAACGAAGACGATAGGTCCGAATATGAAAGCTTGAGCGCGTGCGAGTCGGATCGCGAGCGAGTCTGATTATGAATGAATCTGCGCGCGATTGATTCTATTCGCATGAATGCGTGCATGGATACGCCCAGTGTAAATGTATGTATACGACTGTGAACAGTTTGGGTCTGCGTGACTCTCGGTACTCGTGACTCTGAGCGTCGCCTCTGCAGGGGGCTTCCCTGGGAACCCCGACGGCAGCGCCCGCGCGCCGCGACGCCCATGTCGGCACGCCACACACCAGGTGTGCGGGACGCATGCGGACGGCAGCACTGGGGCCTTCGGTGGAGCTCCCTGTGGGGCCACGAAACGTGTGAGGGGTGTGCCGAAATGGGTGTGCGGGACGCATGCGGACGGCAGCCATGGGGCCTTCGGTGGAGCTCCCTATGGGGCCACGAAACGTGTGAGGGGTGTGCCGAAATGGGTGTGCGGGACGCATGCGGACGGCAGCACTGGGGCCTTCGGTGGAGCTCCCTGTGGGGCCACGAAACGTGTGAGGGGTGTGCCGAAATGGGTGTGCGGGACGCATGAGGGGTGTGCCGAAATGGGTGTGCGGGACGCATGCGGACGGCAGCACTGGGGCCTTCGGTGGAGCTCCCTGTGGGGCCACGAAACGTGTGAGGGGTGTGCCGAAATGGGTGTGCGGGACGCATGCGGACGGCAGCCATGGGGCCTTCGGTGGAGCTCCCTATGGGGCCACGAAACGTGTGAGGGGTGTGCCGAAATGGGTGTGCGGGACGCATGCGGACGGCAGCACTGGGGCCTTCGGTGGAGCTCCCTATGGGGCCACGAAACGTGTGAGGGGTGTGCCGAAATGGGTGTGCGGGACGCATGCGGACGGCAGCCATGGGGCCTTCGGTGGAGCTCCCTATGGGGCCACGAAACGTGTGAGGGGTGTGCCGAAATGGGTGTGCGGGACGCATGCGGACGGCAGCACTGGGGCCTTCGGTGGAGCTCCCTGTGGGGCCACGAAACGTGTGAGGGGTGTGCCGGAATGGGTGTGCGGGACGCATGCGGACGGCAGCCATGGGGCCTTCGGTGGAGCTCCCTATGGGGCCACGAAACGTGTGAGGGGTGTGCCGAAATGGGTGTGCGGGACGCATGCGGACGGCAGCACTGGGGCCTTCGGTGGAGCTCCCTGTGGGGCCACGAAACGTGTGAGGGGTGTGCCGAAATGGGTGTGCGGGACGCATGCGGACGGCAGCCACTGGGGCCTTCGGTGGAGCTCCCTATGGGGCCACGAAACGTGTGAGGGGTGTGCCGAAATGGGTGTGCGGGACGCATGCGGACGGCAGCACTGGGGCCTTCGGTGGAGCTCCCTGTGGGGCCACGAAACGTGTGAGGGGTGTGCCGAAATGGGTGTGCGGGACGCATGCGGACGGCAGCCATGGGGCCTTCGGTGGAGCTCCCTATGGGGCCACGAAACGTGTGAGGGGTGTGCCGAAATGGGTGTGCGGGACGCATGCGGACGGCAGCACTGGGGCCTTCGGTGGAGCTCCCTGTGGGGCCACGAAACGTGTGAGGGGTGTGCCGAAATGGGTGTGCGGGACGCATGCGGACGGCAGCCATGGGGCCTTCGGTGGAGCTCCCTATGGGGCCACGAAGCGTGTGAGGGGTGTGCCGAAATGGGTGTGCGGGACGCATGCGGACGGCATCAAAGGAGAGGAGAGAGGAGGAGAGGAGGTGGGACGCGGGGCGCTGTCTCTTCAAAACGAGGACCCAACACCACAGGATGGTTGGGAACAACAAGCATGTGGCTGCGGTCTCGGCTCCCGCCCACCCGCCCTGAGGCACGACGCCCAGGGAGTCTCGGCGCGCCGTCCTCTCTGAAGGCCCGGTTGGCGGTTGGTACCTACCTCTCCGAGTCCTGGGTCTATCTTTGGAGGCGGCCCCGCCTCGTGAAGGCACCGTGGGAAGGACGCCCCTCTCCCTTGGCTGGCTCGGGGCAACAAAAAAACCTCCGACGCCGATGTTACTTTCGTGTTTCTCCCCTCCACCAGCGGAGCGCGCGCGGCTCCAGGGCGCTCGTCTCGCGCCGCTCGTCCCCTCTCCGGCTCCCCTCTCGGGGGCAACTTTGAGGGGGGGGCGAATCGGCTCAGGGGGGTGGGGGGGGGGGCATCGACCAGGGCTGGACCTGAGCGCTGCTTCTCTGGACTCTGGCCGTGCTTTGTTTTTCGCTTTGGGAGGGAGATACAGGAAACCAGGCAGAGCAAGACGAAAAACAAAGCGAAAACCGAGCGAGACACAACGTTTAGGTCCAGCCGCTGACTCCCGATCGCTCATTGATCGCCGACAGGGGCCCGGTCACCCGCCCAGCCCAGGAGCGTGCGGCTTTCGTTGTCGGGGGCCTATTGCCGCTCTGGCATCGGCGACGTGTCGTGGCTTCCGGGTCACTGTTCCCCCCCCTAGTGTTGCCAGGGCGCGATGGGGACAACGGTGCAAATTCGTCAGCTTCTTGCGTGCTGGCGGACATGATGTGCAAGGTGGCAATTGTCGGAAACTGGAGCATCTACATTACCAGTGGCGGGCGGTTTTTCAATCCCAGGACTTTCTTTGAGGGGCGGGGACGACGTCGGCGTGGTGTGGTGTGTACATGTTTCCCTGTTTTCCCGTGGAAGCAACAAAACATGTATACACCAGGATGCCGTATACACCATAATTCGTTTTCTTATGCGAATCTCAGTGCGGGACCGGAATAAAAAACATCGGTGTACAAAGTTCGGTTCCTTAACTTGGGCCGCCTGCGCTGGCAGTTCCCCGCTCTGTGGATGCCCCCGAAGACAGGCCCCTGATTACCAGCCTCGAACGTATCCCTATCCCTAAGATTGACACGCTAAAAGGAGATGACAATCTCAGGGATACACCCTCAGAAACTCGGGGAATCCCTAAGATCGCCATCGTGATGAGGCGATGCCCGACATAGGGGTAGGGATATGTTCCAGGCCGGTAACCTGAAGCACAAGCTCTGCTTCACTGCGGTGTCGACACCCACGCCCCGGCCAGGGCCAGGCTCTACCCTTCAGTCGGGCCTGCCCCTCTACAGGAGGAATATTCAAAAACAGTAAAAAATAGCCTGGGGACGTTTTTGTTGATTAACATTTTCGATGATTTTAGGGTATGTTTGGGCTACTTTTCATTCTTCGTCCAAAATCCCCGTGTGGGGGGGCAGGCCCGACTCAACTCTTACCCGCACATGTGGAGGCCTCTAGAATGGGGTCCGAGTAGATAGGGTCGGAGGGTCGCGCCGCATCGGCAATGCATCGGCGATGCATCGGCGGTGCTGCAGCGATGCATCGCGACGTCGGCATGGAGAACGTCGGGCTCCTCATCGAGCCGCATCGGCGATGCATCGGCGATGCGGCGAGATCCCCCGGCCCCTATCTGCTCGGGCCGCATGAGGTAGGCCTGGGTCATGGGCGCTTGCTTGACTGCCGTGCCTGCGTGCCCGCCAGCCTGCCTGGTCCCCTACAGCGGAGACCCGTGCCAAGAAACACCATGCTCGCCTCTTGCTTGGCATCGCTCGGACGTGTGTATTTTTCCTTCGGCGAGGACCATCGAGGAGCATCCTTGGTCATTTGGCGAAAAAACCACGTACGAAACCGAACAATGCACGGGAAATGGACGTCCGTGCGATGGCAAGCTTGGGCTTCGATGGTTTATTGCTGCGGAGAGAGCGCGACGCTCCCGCACCACAAGCCAGTGGACGCCCTGGGGCCTCGGGCCCCCCCACCGCGGAGGAGGAGGAGGAGGAGGAGGAACACGAGGAACAGGATGAGGAGGAGGAACAGGATGAGGAGGAGGAGGAGGAGGAGGAGGAGGAGGAGGAGGAGGAGGAGGAGGAGGAAGGGGACGACTAACCATACGCATGCGAAGAAGATTCTGACACATACTGCTAAGGACCATAGGGGGGGAGGAGGTCTTGTGGGAGGCTCCTCGTGGACTGGCCTCCGCCGCACCCTCGCCCCTCGCTCTCCCGCGCACCGCTTCCCCACCAGGAGCTCATGCTCCGCGTGCCCGCCGGTGGCTCCATGCCGCTCTCCAACGTCAAGCGCCTCTTCCGGTCGCCGGCCCTCCGCCTCCGCTGGCCGCCCCCGCGGGCCGCCGGGGATCGGCCCGGGGTCAGGTCGGGCACGTCCCTCTGCAGGGGGGACGTTCAAAAGCAGTCAAGGAATACAGTCAGGGGGTGATGTTTGGACCATGTTGGAGCCTTTGTTGGGAGTGTTTCCGGATCATTTTGTGGTTTTCGCTTGAAGTCTGCCTGTAGGGGGCGGCGACCACCAGCGGCGAGGAGGGCGAGGAGGACGAGTCGGCGTCACCCCAACAAATTGATACTATGTGTGCGTTGCCCCCCGAGGGGCGACGCGCGTACCGAGACATCTTATGCTACGGGCGTTCTGGCGGGCGCTTTTTTCTGGCCACACCGCTCGGGACACGATCTACTACAGGATGGGCATACTATATGTCCGCGTCGGACGCGCGCCTCCGAGGATGTCCTCCTGCGTCCCAACGAGGACGACGACCGCAGGATGACGAAGGTGACGACCAGGACGACGAGGACGACGGCGGCGGCGGCGGCTGCGGCGACGACCGACGGGGTCAAGGTGGGGGCGATCGAGTCTTCTTCTTGGACGGCTTGTGGATCTTCGCTGGGCACCTCCCGGGAGCACCCGAGCTCCGGCGGAGGTCGCTCGGAAGACTGGCCAGGGAGGGGCCCGGCATGGGCCCCAGGGGCCGCGCTGGGGCGTTCTGGTCGGGCGGAGGCGTCGGCCCAGGCTTGCCATCCCTGCAGAGATACCGCGGCGGCAAGTGCCTCTCTCGGGGAAGCGTAGGACTCGAGTTCGCTGGGACTCGAGTTCGCTGGGACTCGGGTTCGCTGGGACTCGGGTTCGCTGGGTCTCGAGTTCGCTGGGACTCGGGTTCGACGGTCTAGTAATTCGTTTTGGCGGCACAAGCTTCGCGGGATGTTTGCAGCGGGAGTTCGCGTCAAACCTCAGAGAGGGTCTCGTCAGTCGAAGAAGAAAAACGGCATACACATACACTCTTGGCGCTCCGCGCGGATTTCTTGGATCTGCGGTGGCCCCCGCGTCGGCGCCTCCGGCGCCGCCCCTGGCGCGCTCCGCGCGCCAGGGAGAGGGATCCAGCGCAGATCCTAGAAATCCGCGCGGAGCGCCAAGAGTTTACGTTTATGGCGTTTTTTCTTATTTTTCTTCTACTCTTGACGTCCGCTAGAACCCGTTCTTCGCGCCCGAGGGGCCACCAGAAAGCGGCCCAGGATGCGCACGCTGCCCTTATGGAGAGCGCCCTGGACGCGTCGGGGCCACGCCTCGAGACAGGCACGGCCTTGCAGTTCCTTGGTGTCGCTCGGACGTGAGCACTTTCTCTCGGGCGCGGCCGCGGCTGTCCACGCGGGGGCCGGTCGCGCCATCGGGCCCGTTGCCGCCGCGCTGCGCAGCATGCGCGAGCTGGGGCTCGGAGGCGACGACGAGGAGTGCTGGAGCGGCGTGCCGACGGCGCCTGGCTGCTGGCGCCCCGCTGACTGGCCGCGGAGAGCAACCGAGCGCGTCGCCCTCGCGGCGTGGGCCCGTGCCGAATGCCGCAAGGTCGCGGTCCGCCGGCCGTGCTACGCCCACCTGGCCGACGGCGTGGACCGCTGGGCGTCGCGACGTTTGCTCGAGGCCGACGCCGCCGGAGCGCTGCGCAGCGTCCTATGTGGCAGCGTGGTCACGGAATCCGTCGCGACGAGGTGGAACGGTCGCTCGGCGACTTGCCCGCACTGCGGCCGCGCCCCGGAGGACCGCGATCACCGCTTCTGGGCGTGTCCAGCGTGGGAGGGCAAGCGGCGCGCGGCGTTGGCCGCCGCCTTCACCTCCTCGGGCGCTTTGTCCCCCGAGGTAGCAGCCTTTCGCCAGGAGCTGCCCGTTGGGGTCGCCACCACGGGGGCACTGGCCATGCCGCCACGCCTTGCTGCCCTCGCCGACGCCGCAAGCAACGAGGATCCGAGTTTCCCGCCGCAGGCCGAAATGCAGCCCACCGCACCCCGCCGCACTGTCTGGAGTGACGGCGCCTGCATCCATCCGACGGACCCCCTGCTGGCGCGCGCGGCGTGGGGTCTACGCTACGCAGGCTCCAGCGAGCCCAACCTCGGCGACCCGGTTGACGGGGTGCAGACTGCCCGGCTCGCCGAAGTGGCGGCTGTGGTCGCGGCCGCTTGCGCTGTCGGCGACTCCGTCGACCTTGCCTCTGACGGCAAGTACGTCGTTCGGTCCTGCGCGCAGGTCGCGGCCGGCGCGGACGCGCGGGAGTAGGAGCACGCCGACCCCTGGCAGCAGGCGGAGGAGGCCATCCGCAGCGGAAGGCTGAGGGCCCGCTGGGTCCCCGCGCACCTGACGGCAGCGGAGGCCCCCGAGCGCTGGATGGACGAGCGGGACCGCCTTGGCAACGCGGCGGCCGACGCCAACGCTGGCGCGGCCGCCGCGCAGCGGGCCCCGCCTCAGGCAGCGGTGGCAGCGCGCCGACGGGAGCTCGAGCAGCTGGAGGCAGCGCGACGCGTGCTCGCAACCATGCAGCTGGCTGCCATGGCAGCGGCGCCGCCCGCCGCCCGCCGCCGGCCGCGCGACTGGCGCAGCGTGTGCCGCGGGGGCTCGCCGCCTTCTTCGCAGGGCGGTCGTGGCTGCCGCACGCCCTCTCGCAGGGGCCGGGCCACGCCACCTGTCTCCGGTGCGGTGCCAGCGCAGCGGCGCCGGCGGAGGCGCACGGGAGTGCGTTCCCAGGGTGGAGAGAACAACTGCCGGCGCGGGGGCTAGCCCTGCTCTTGCTGCGCTGGGGGCAGCGTTTCCGAATCCGCGGCGGTGGCGGCGCGGCGTATCGCGCAGCCCCCCAAGATGCCCGACTGAATCGGGCGCCTCTTCGGGGCGCTTGCGGTAACGCTTGTCGCCCGACCCTGCTCGTCAAAGCACTTTTCTCGGCGGGGATCATTGTGGAGCATCCTGGATCATCTTGCGAAAAAAAAAAAACACGCACTACATCGAAAAAAAAACACAGGGCATGGACGTCCGAGCGATGGCCAGGTTCTGGGGGCGTCGGTGTCGTGGCCGTCTCGGCTGCGCTCGGTGTCGGCTCCGCCGGTGCTGCTCGGGGTCCTCCACGGCTCTTCAATCTGCGTGTGACGGGGGGTCGGGTCCAGGGGCCCCTGGTCGGGACCCGAATCGCACGTGGGTGGGCCAGGGCTCCCCGCGCAGACTGTGGGAGCCCCGAGTCAACGCCCAGGGCGATCATATTGCCGTCAAGACGACCCACGGCGGCCTCGAGTCGTCCCAAGATGGCCTCGAGACGTTTCAGACGGCTCACTCGGCGCCTCCAGCGGCCCAGCTTGCTTCCATGACGCCTCGACAGCGCAGCAGGAGGCCTTCCAAGATGGCTCCAGGAGGCAAGCATATACATGTCCTGTTTGCTCTCAAGGTTTCTAGGGTTCTCGCCTTTGCGGGCTTCCGACGACCCAAGACGGCTCAACGGGTGCCACAGGTCGCCCAAAGACGTTCCACGAGGCCCCCAACAACGCGCCCAGAAGACCCGAAATAATCCCAAGAACCCAAGAGGGCCATAAGACGGCCCAAGGAAGCGCAAACACATTACGAGAGAACCCCTAAGAGGGCCTCAAGAGAGCCCCAAGAGAACTTCGAGAGGTCCCAAAGAGAGCCCCAAGACGGCCAAAACAAGACGCCCCAGAAGGGCTTCAGGAATCCATTCAACACGCCCCGATGCTGCTCCAGGAGGCCCTCCAAGTCGGCTCCAGGAGGCAAGCAGCATCGATTTTCCTTTTTGGGTTTTTGCAAGGGTTTGAGGGTTTTCGCTTTGGGCTTCCGACGGCAGAAGACGGTCAAGAGGCGCCACAATTCGCCCAACGACGGCCCAAGAGGCCTCGAAGAGGCCCCAACACAGGAGGAGGAGGAGGAGGAGGAGGAGGAGGAGGAGGAGGAGGAGGAGGAGGAGGAGGAGGAGGAGGAGGAGCAGCAGGCGCAGAAACCGGAGCGGGAGCAGGCGCAAAAACAGCGACAGTGAGGAAACGGCTGCTGTGTTTGCGCGAGCATCTGGTTTTACACCAGTGCTGTGGTGCACGAAAGCACTGCGGTGGTTTGCGTTCCGGGCCCGAAGAATCGATCGTCGCATATAACTTACGCATCGACTGTGGTACGTTTGTGGGCCTGCTATGACTTTCGGGAGTTGGCGCCCCCCGTCAAAACAGACTTTGTGGTGTGCGCAGGCGTTTGTAAGAGCACAGTGGTGAATGCATGCCAGAGGGGCTGTGGTGCGCACGGCTGCCGTGGTGGCGCGCGCATGTGTTGTACACCGGCTCCGTGTTGCACAGGCAGTGCGGGCCCGTGGTGAAGGGCGGACCGTGCCCCAGCCCAGGAATCACAAACACTTCACCTTTTGAATGGATGTCTTCGGGGTTGCCACGGTTTTCGGGAGTTTCGGTCCCGTCGGGACCTTGGGGTGTACCAGGGTTTGTGGTGTACACAAGAATGTGGCGGTCGCTGTCGCCAGGAGCTGTGGTGCACACGGCTGCTGTGGTTCCGCGAGCATCAGGCTGTACAGGCGCTGAGGTGCACGCAGACGTTGCGTGCCAAAAGCACAGGGTGGACATTATCTTGGGTCCAGAGATCAATAATCACACAGGCGATTGTCGCGCTGGTGCTGCGGGCGCGCCTTGGGGGGTGCACGCGTCGTCTGTTACCGTACCTCCCAATCCCGCCGACCCCCCTCCGTAACACGAATTACACCCAGTGGATAAAGGATTGATCAAGTTCTGGACAGAGCGTCTAAGAGCTGTCGGAGGGAGGAGATGGGAGAAGCAGGAGGAGTGAACCGAGAAGATCGCACGGGTGTCTGCATCTCTCCGAGGCCTTCTCCAACCTCCTTCTCAAGCGTTCCCTCGCACGCCGTCGCGCTAGTTTGCAAGAGAGAGGGAACGAAACCATAGCACAAGTACATCTGGGACGCGAGGATGTGGACAGCAACGCCCTGTCTACGGTCAGGAACTTGAGCTTAGCGTGTGGCTCCGCCGGTTCTTGTCCACCATGCTTCGGCGCGACGCGCCAACCACGTTCCCGTCCCCAAGGTGTCTAAGGAGGGGAAGAAACACACAGACACAATGAATCGGCGATTCCCCAGAAAATATGGGAAACTATGGGCATTGGGGGGGAAGACAAACACCCAGAACATATAGGAACATATGGGGAATATTTTTATGTGTGTATTTATTTGTGTGTCCTGGGGCCCCTTCACACGTCCCCGTCCCAAAGGGTGTCCGCGTCCCGAGGCTTCACCCCCCCCCCCGCCCCACGGAGCGGAGCGGCACGCCATCCGCCTGCCGGGCGCAGCGTGTCGCTGGGGCCGCCGCCGCGACACGCTGCGCAGCAGTTCCCAACCGTCGAGCCTTAGCACGGGCGCAGCACGCGCGTGGCTCCAGTCTCTATGTACACATGTATATATTTAGAGATTGCAAGAATGTCAGCCAGCGCGGGCCCTGTACAGTAAGCTATTGTACTGTGGACGTGTAGGCTATGTGGTGCAAGTCGCGTGGTGTAAGCCATGCGGTGCACCTGTGCAGGCGAGGGGAGGCAGCGCAGCGTCAGCGGGCCGTCGTGGCAGAACCTCGCCGAACCCAACCCGTGCACGAGGCGGCAGCGAAACGGCAACGGGCGGCAACGGGGCGAGTTCTCGCTGGACACACATTCAGCGCACGAGGCGGCAACGCTGCGGCAGCGGGAGGCAGCGTGGCGGCGCCTCGCCAGACCCACCCGGCGCACGGGGCGGCAACGGGCGGCAACGTGGCAGCACCTCTCCGGACTCATCCGATGCCTTGGAAGCGCAAGCCAGAACTCCTGAGCGCAGGCATTGTTTGGGGACATACTCTCACCAAGGTTGGCCACAGGGGTTGGCTGGGAGGTTTCGCCGGGAGGGTTGGATGGGGCTGGCGGGATGGTTGGTTCGGGCCGCCTGGAGGATTCGCCTGGGTACTTCTTCGGTAGGTGTTTTTGGTCCATAGCCCAGAGTAGCGGTATCGGTATCGTGTTGCGCCCCCCTCTTCTCGCTTAGGTCACGCTTTAACATGGAGCTGAGCGAGACCGCGCTGGGCCATTCGAAGCTGTCGGAGCTTCTGAACGACACTCGGCTGCAGGACAGGGCTGTGCCAGATCCTTTTTGGGGAATGCGATGCCGCAAGTGCCAACGCGGAATTGGAGGGAAGAGTCTCGTGTGAACGACAGGCGCGCGAGAGGCTTCCACCCGTTTCTCCAGCGTCGAAAGTCATAGACGGCCGCATTCGTCGCAGAGGCGTGGGGAATCAAGCATCACAGTCACAGTGACCTCCTCTCCCCAGTTTCGCTACCCTTACGACGGTGTTACGCAGCAGTTTGTCGTGTCAGAATTGAGGCGCAACTTCAAACATAAGAAAGCCATGGTCCCTGTCCTCATTCCCAGAGCTTGGTTAGGGCAGACCACGTCCTCGTCCAGCTAGCTGGGTAGCACCTCGTATCTCCCCCATTGGACGGCAGGCGTTGAGAAACTCATCGTGCAAGGCGCGATCCGTCCCTGCTCCAAAGGCGCCCTCGAGGGCGCGACGCCATTCGCGCTTCGCGTTTTGGCTACGACTCCTCCTCACTCCTCCCCATCCTCCTGCTTTTCCCCTGGGAGGGGGGCGGTGCGAGCGCGCGCGAAGTTCTTCGCGCTTTCGCGTCTCGCGCATCGCGAAGCGCGCGAAGCCTGGCGCCCTTTGCGGCTCCGCCGCCTCGGCTCAAGCGACACGTTCCTGCAGGGCGACTGCGAGGGGGTCGGGAGTCGCCTGGGCCTGGGCCGACCCCCTGCGGCCTCGCGGCCATCTTCGGGAGGGAGAGAGCACACAGACACAAGCAATCGTCGATTCCCAGGGAAATGTGCAACAGTGTGGGAAGTGGGGGGGAAGACGAAAGTCCAACGACTCTGGGAAGATATGGGGAATCCTGTGACTTGTGTGTGCTTATCTCTGTGTGTGTGTGTGTGTGTCCCGGGGCCCCTTTCACGTCTCTCCGCACTCGGCCTGGCCCCCCGCGCCTGACCTCGGAGCGCCTCCGCGGCGAGCCCCCCGGGGGGGGGGACGCCCTTCTCGGAAGGCCCGGAAGCCCCCCCCCCCCGGGCCTCTGAGAGGGGTCCGCTCTCTCTCTCTCTCTATGTTTTTGCAGGCCCGGGCGGGGGGAAAACCCGCCCCCCCCCCCAAAAAAAAAACCGGACTCCCGGGAGCTGGGGCTCTGGGACCTTCCGGACGGTCCTCGAAGTATCCCCTGGGCCTCGCAGGACGTTTTGCCAAGCCTTCCCAGCACACCTAGGGCGATCAGGAGGGTCATCGGAGACGTCCCAGAGACCCCCAAGACAGCACAAGAGCGCTCCAAGAGTGGCCGACGTGACCTCAAGATGGCCCAAGAGGCCTCCAGGACGGCCCCAAAGAGGCCTCCAAGAGCACTCCCAAAAAGGCCCCCCGAGGCAAACGTCATTGATTTTCTTTTGGTTTGTGGTGAATTTCGACGCTCCAAAATCATTTATTTTGTGTTGTTTGGGGTTTTCCTCTTTTCGGCTTCCCGACGCTCCAAGACGGCGGTCTTCTGGGCGTCCGAAGCCGCCTGGGAGGATCCGAAATCGCCCCACAAGCATCCGAAAAGGCGTCAGGCAGTCCAAGAAAGCCCCAAAACGGCACAACACGGGTCCAAGATGGCCCTCAGAGAGCCCCATGGCGGCCCAAGATGGCCCAAAGACACTCTCCGAAGCATTCCAAATCGTGACCCGTTCGTTCAGGGAGACCGCGGTTGGAGGCAGGTTGGCCCGAGGAAGCCCCCGGAGGCCCCCAGAATACGCTCAGGAGGCCTCCAGAAGGCCTTAAGAAAGCCCAAAACAACTTTTGTGAGGCCCCCAGAGGCTCTTCAAGGAGGAGCCTGCGCAAAAAAGAGCTGAGGAGGATGGGGAGAATGCCCAGGGTATGGCGAAAATAAAGAAAAAACATGGAGGAAGGATACCGAATAACATTATTATAGCGGCGATGCCGGAAAAGGCAAGCAGGAGTTGTCGCTAAATTGTCGGCTTGACCTCCCTGCTAGTCCGCCTGCATACAAAGCTTCAAGGACCAAGGTGCATGGCGCGAAGCGCCACTGCAAACTTGTATATATATGTATATTTATATATGTATCCTTTAGTACTAACAGGTTGTGTCTCGCCTCGCTCGCCTCGTCCTCCCTCGTCGTCACAACCGTCTCGTCCATAGCTTTGTGCTCAGAGAGGCCTCGGGGGAGCCGGCACCGTACGATTTTCTGGTGCTCCTCCCGAGGACTGAGGGAGCCCCCGCAACCCTCGGGGCTTGCGGGGACCGACTTCGGGCTCGTCCGCCCTTGACGCCGTGACGACACCTCGCGCGGGCCTCCTCCTGGCGATGGCGGCCAGAGCTGGCGTGCCCCCTGGCCTCGGCGGCTTCGCAGCGCTGCCCGTGGGCGTTGGCGCGGCGCTCGGCGCGGTGCCGAAGGTGGCCCCCCCAGTGCTATCCAAGGGCGCGCGGCGCGCGGCGCCCAAGGGCCGCGGAGGAAACCGAGGCGGCCGCGGCCGAGGCAAGGCTGGAGGGGGACCGCCGCCCATGCCTAAGGGCAAAAAGGCTGCGGGGGCCCCTCGGCCGCGGTCTGCAGGCGGAGGCAAGGCCAAGGCGGGCGCAGGCGCGAACGCTGGGGGCAGCGCAGCTCCAGCATCCGCCGCGCCTCCGCTCGCTGGGCCGCCTGCTGGGCCGCCTGGCGCCGGAGCAGGGCCTGCGGCCGCGGCAGCCGTGGTCCCCGCCGCGGCAGGGGCCCCGCCAGGGCCCGCGGCGTTCGCCGCTGGCTTCGGACCGCCAGGAGGCGTCGGCGCTGCAGGAGGCGGCGGGCTCATCCCGCCCGCGTTCGGGGGCGGCGCGGCCGCTGGCCCTGGAGGCCCCCCCTTCGCGCCTGGAGGAGGCCCCCCAGGAGCGGGGGTCGGCCTCGGCCCGTGCGCGGGCAGAGGTGCAGGTTGCGGGCCCGCCGCCGCCCCCGCCGTGGTGCCCGCAGGTGGCGGCGGCCTCGTGGGCGGCTTCGGCGTCGGAGGCTGGGGCGCGCCCGCTGCCGCGGGCTGGGGCCACGCGCCTGGGTTCGACCTCGCCGCGGTCCCAGGCGGCGTTGGACCCTGGATCCATGGCCCGTCGGCGCCCCACGCCCACCAGCGCATGGGACTCATGCCAGGGACGCATGTTGAGGGAGTGCTTCTCGACAGCGCCTCCAGTGCTGTGGGCACTGCTGTGTTCATGGTCCCGAGTGCGTGGCCAGGCGACGGGAGCGGGTGCTACGTCGAGGGCGTCTTCGTGGGCACGAGCGCCACGCAGCTGGCGCCCATGCTGTCTGGCTCCTTCGGCGCCGTCGGCGGGTCGGTCATCCACCTGTGCTCGCAGCCGTCCTCGCAGTGCTCGCTGGTCAATCAGTGGCCTGGTCGTGCTGTGCTCCACATCGAGACGTACAGGATGCGTGACGGGCGGAGCCTCTCCGAGCCGTGGATGCAGGGTGTCCCGCAGCTTTCAGCAGGAGGAGGCCCGCCCGCAGGAGGAGGCCAGGGCGCCCCCCCCGCCGCCGCTGGGGCTGCCGCAGGAGCCGACGGTCAGCCTGGAGCTTGTCCGACGCATGCCGGGGTTGCTGAGCTGAAGGAGCGGCTCCACAGGCGGCGGACAGCTGGGCAGTCACTGGCCTCGCGTGCCGGGGCGGCTCTGGCAGGGAAGCGGCCTCGCAAGAACAGGAAGGACGATCGGGACGGCAGTGAGTCAAGTTTTGACGACGCCTCACACGTCGATGCAGGCCGCCGGATAGAGACCCTCTCGCGGGGGCAGCCAGGAGCCCTCCTGGCCAGCGGGATGGAGGTCATCAGCCGCTATCTGGCGCGACGTGGAGGGGCGGTTGATTCAGACAGCCTGGATACGATGAGCGCTCAGGTCGTTCGCTACATCGCCAGCGTGTGGCACGGGCATCGCCCCCAGAGCGAGACGGGGGTGAGGAGCGTGAGGGAGCTGCGCACCATCGGGGAGTGCCTCGACGCGTTGCTTCGAGGAGAACTCGATCACCTCGGCGACTTGCTGATGCAGGGGGTGGAGGCGATCGAGCAGGCGACGAAGGGCGGGCTCTGGCAGGTGGCGCAGCATCTCAAGTTGTGCGACGATCTCGGAGTGGGCCTGACGCAGTCGGCGGAGCTGGCGGACGCAGTGAGCAAGCGCAAGAAGCTCCACGGCCTGCAGGAGAGCGTCGCGAAGGCCCGCAAGACGGGCGCCGCTGGCTAGGGGTGGGGCCGAGGGGGGGGGCGAGCGGCCCGCGCCCCCCCCCCTCGACGGCCAGCCGCTGGCGCGGCCATGGCGGTGCCGAATCCTCCCCCCGTGTCGCCGGGCAAGCGGGGGAGGGCGCGCAAGAGGCTCAACGCCGTGGGCCTGCGAGCTCGAGATGGGAAGGCCTCGAGCACGGCGGCGCGGGCGACTTCTCCCTCGCGGGCGAGCGCGCTTCTCCCGAAGGCCGCCGTGAAGGAGACGACTGCTGCGGCTGGTGCGACAGGCGCGGCCGCAGCGCCGAGGGCCCCGTCGCCGCGGGCGGAGCGCCCCAGCGGGCCGCCGTCGCCGAGGCCGCCCCCCAGGAGGTCTGAGCCCAGGCCCCGACGGGAGGCCGGTGCTGAGGTCGCCAGGGGCAGCGCGGGGCGCCCCGCCTTCGCCCCAGCGCCGCGCCCACTTCGTGGACGACGCGCCGCCCCGCCGCGCGGGCAGCCAGGAGCGCGGCGCGGGCGAGGGGGGGCCCTGGAGGTCAGGCAAGAACGCTCAGAAAGGCAAAGGAGGCAAGGGCGGGAAGCGGAGCCGCCGCTAGCCTCCCGTGGCGTGAGTCAGCTCGGTGGCGAGGGGGGCGCGGTCGCAGCGACCGCGGCCGCGGGCGAGCCTTCGCCCTGCAGTCCCGCTGGCGTCCACGGAGGCGATCTTCAGGAGGAGATTCCGCCTGCCTCTGAGGACCGCCCAGTTTCACTTCCTTGCTCGGCCAGGCGCTGGGGCATCTCTCGAGCGTTTCGGTAAGTGGCTGCTGTCTGCGCTTCTGCGGCTTCGCAGATCTGGTGGAGCGGCGCGTCGCGATGAGTGGGGTCGAGCAGCAGCCAGGTGTGATCAAGCGTCGCACCCACCAACGTACGGTCGGAACGGTTTGAGGGATCTCCTGCCGTTGCCGACCGCAGTTCGCGTGACAGGCCCCGCCCTGGCCCGTGGAGGGTGCATCAGGAGGGGCAAGACTACGGCAGCCACTCAGTTGGAGCTGGATTGGCTGAATTCCATCATCGAGAGCTTGAATTTCCATTATACGCTGCACTGGGGTCGGACACCACAAGGCCCGCCTTCAGCCGTGCAGGACCTGGCGTTGTCCAACCTTCTTTTCGAGGTTCGCGTGTTCCTGGATCAATGCCGCGGCCTGGTTCCGGAGCTGGACTGGGGGCAGGAGCTGGTCAGCGCCGCCGCGGCGTACGACGGCGAGGAGATCTACCCCGCGGAGCCGCTGGAGTTCGCCCGGTTGGAGGCCGCGCTCCCGCCGCGCGAGGCCTGCTGCGCCGTCGCCGCCGCGGACGGCACAGAGGGGTGGCTCAGGCAGGCGCTCCTCGATCCGCGAATCGTGCTGAAGGGCCCCTCGGAGATCGGGGAGCTCCTTCCCACGCCCAAGGTGTGGGCCTCCGACGAGGAGTGGGAGGTCATCGCGGGCGAGCTGCTGCAGCGCGGCATCTTGAAGCCGATCGAGTACGCCAACATTGCGGAGGTGAACGGACGCAAGGTCTTGGGGAGCATCTTCGGCGTGCGCCGGAGTGGGCGCCAGCGAGGATCAGGTCCGCAGCGATTGGTGATGAATATCATCCCGTCGAACGCCCTCCAGCGGCCGATCGAAGGGGAAATGCCTGTCCTCCCCCAAAGCGACAAGTGGAAGACGCTGAAATTGAGGTCAGGGGAGGTCTTGCTTTGGAGCTCGGATGACCTGAAGTGCCGTTTCTACGTGTACGGCCTCGGCGAGGCTTGGTTGCCATACATGGCCATCTGCAAGCCAGTCCGCCGCGCCACGGCTGGCCTGGCGGGCTCGGGCGTCGTCTACGTCTCCTCGGCCGTGGTGCCGATGGGGTGGGCCTCAGCGACGGGAGTGGTTCAACGCATACATCGTCGTCTGCTTCGTGCCTGGCATCCTCGGCTGCAGCAGCTGAGGGCTGAGGAGGAGCTGAGGAAGGACGCCCCAGCGCCCGCGCCCAGGTCGGCCCCTCAGCCGCGCGACGTGGGCTTCGAGCCAGTGCGCGGCTGGGTCGACGAGGAGGCCGCCGACGGGGGGCCCGTGGTCTACATCGGGCGCGGCTGGCGCCGCCGCGGCCTGGCCCCGTCGCGATGGGGCGAACCCTACCGCGTGGGCCCGCAGCGGAGCCGTCACCAGGCCGTGGCCGAGTTCGCCCGCTACCTGGATGAGGAGCCGTCGCTGCTGGCGGAGCTTGACTCTTTGAGCGGCACGAGTCTGGCCTGCCACTGTCGCCCGTCTCAGGTGTGCCACGGCGACGCCATCATCAAGAAGTGGCGATGGCGGTTCTTGGAGCCTGCCGTCTGGCGGGCCTCGCAGGTCTTCATCGACAACCTCGACGTGCTGGGGGTGGCCGAGTGGTGGCGCGCCGTGCAGCTGAAGCGGGGGGGCCTCGGCGATGCGGCCCCCCTCGCCCGCGCCCGCTACGAGGCGCAGGGCGTGCCCCGCAGCGAGGCCAAGTCGGTGGTGCGGGAGTTGCAGACGGTCTCCCTCGGCGAGGCCATCGACGGGGAGCTCGGCGCCATCGGGCCCCCGAAGGAGTTTGTGCTGCGGCTGGTCTCGCTCACGCTCGAGACCGTCTCCCGTGAGAAGGTGACCCAGAAGTGGATGCAGATACTCGCGGGTCGCTGGGTCAGGTGTCTTCTGTTCAGGAGGGAGGCGATGATGAGCTTCGCGCACCTGTGGCGGCTCCTGGTGCGCATTCGGGGGCATGCTCCGCTACCAGCGGTGGTGAAGGAGGAGCTGCTGGGCGCCCTGGCTTTGCCCCCGCTGCTGAGGTGCGACCTCAGAACCCCGTGGGCGGGCGGGTGGCCGTGAGCGACGCGAGCCTCCATCGAGGCGCCGTCTGCCTCGGGGTTCGCCTCCGCCCCGAGGGCGAGGCCGCCGCGCGGGCCGCCAGGAAGAGGCAGCGGATCAGCTTCAGCGACGAGGTGGTCCTCCTCTCGCTCTTCGACGGGGTCGGCGGGGCGAGGCGGGCCTTGGATCTGGTGGGGCTCATCCCCGCCCTCTTCGTCGCCTCGGAGACCGACGTGGAGGCTCGGCGGGTGACCGGGTGCACCTGGCCCGACGTCCTCGAGGTCAGGGGCGCGCGCACCTTCGGCTACGCGGAGGCCGTCGCGATCCGCGACAGGGCGTCGCACGCGAATTGGGCCCTCCTTGTGGCCGGCCCGGCCGGCAGCCCGTGCGCGGACCTCGCCGGGATCAACGTGCAGCGGGTCGGGCTCTCGGGCGAGAGGTCGCGGCTCTTCTAAGAAACCAGGCGCGTCAGGGACTTGCTGCTTGAGGTGCTCGGGCAGTGGTGCTCCGTCTTCGAGCTGGTTGAGAACGTGGCCTCCATGGACGTGGAGCCAAGGGAGCTGATGACCGAGCACTTGGGCTTCCCCCCCATCCGCGTCGACGCCGCGGATGTGAGTCACTGCCGCCGCGACCGTTTCTACTGGATTGACCCCGCCATGGTCTGCGCTTGGCAATGCAAGGTTCAGCAGTGCGACAGCTGCGAGCAGGTGGCGATCCCAGGTGGCCCAGGGGAGCCCGCCCGCTGGCTGGCCCCAGGCCTGGGTTGGCATGGTGATGCCGACCCGACCTTTCGCTTGCCGACGTTCCTGCGATGCGACCCCCGCCGAGCTCCAGGCCAGTTCCCCAGCGGCGTGCATAGGTGCACTGAGGCCGAGCTCCAGAGATGGCGGGACCACGAGTACTGCTATGCCCCGTGCCAGTTCACGGGCGTCAACTGCATCCAGGTTGAGGACAACTCTTTCAGGCCGCCCAACAGCGCCACGCGGCCGCGGCGCGCGTCACCAGCTCGCGCAAGCTCGAGCCGCGGGCCTTGGAGCAGAAGAGGTGCGCCTTGCTGGGGAACAGCTTCCAGTGCGCAACGGTGGCTTGGGTTGTGGCCCACTGGGCGGTCAAGCCGGGCTACCTGCAGCGCGCCCCAGCCATCGCGGAGATGCGCGAGACAGGTGGCGGCGCGACCATCGAAGACCGAGACGTGGAGTTGAGCTCGTCCGACGCTGGCGTGGGGGCCTTGGTCAGGCAGCACGAGCTGGAGGACCTTTCGGCCGCCGCCGACCCCAGCGTGGCCATCGTCGAGGAGATGGCCCGCAGGGCTGAGCCCAGAGGGAGTGACATCCGGCTCGACATTTTCGAAGCGACGAGGCCCGACCTGTGGCCACGGCGCCTCATCGGCGTGGGGCGCTGGTCGTGGAAGCCCGCGGTGATATGGCACTGGCGGCGCCCTTCGCACATCGCGGACTTGGAGGCGCGGGCGACGCTCCAGGCGCTACGCAAGAGGTTCAGAGTGTCGCGGCACCGTCGGACCAGGGTCTTTCTGCCGCCTTATGGACTCGCAGGCGGGCTTGGGCGTGATCGCGCGCGGCCGCTCTTCATCTACGATTCTCCACGTTGTTGTGCGACGCCTTGGTGCCCTTGTTCTTGCTGCTCTCGCTCGCCCTGCGTGTTGCTACACGGAGACCGACCGCGACCCGGCCGATCATCCTTCGCGGTCGGCCGCGGTCTCCAACGCCCTGAGCGATGACGGATAGAAGGGCGTGCCGCTTCCAAGCGGCGGGCGGGCAGGCAGCGAGGCAGCAACAAAGGGCAGTGGTGGCCCACTCAGACGCGCGCTGGTGCAGCCGCGCACGATGATGGTCTACCTGCGTGCAGCACAACAGTTCTCAGAATTGAGGATGGGCCGCAACTTGTCGTGGTCGGCCGCCTCGAATGGCACGGAGTTTCTTGACATGCTGGTCGCAGAGTGGTTCGAGTGGCTGTGGCTCGAGGGCCACCCGCAGGGGACAGCTGGCAGCGCGCTCTCCGCCGTCCAGTCCTTCTTGCAGCGGAAGCGGATCCTGCCAGCCTCGCGGCGCCTCTTCAAGGCTTGGCAGAGGCTGGAGCTGCCGCAGCGCGCGCCGCCGCTGCCGCGGACCGTCGTCGTCAGCGTGGCGGCGCTGGCGCGGCGCTGGCAGCGCAACGACGTGGCGGTCCTTCTGATCATCTCCTTCGCCGCCTTCCTCAGGACCTCTGAGGCCTTGACCCTGCGCCGCTGGCAGGTTCAAATAGACAGTCGGAGAGAGAGAGAGAGAGAGAGAGAGAGAGAGAGAGAGAGAGAGAGAGAAAGAGAGAGAGAGTCATTGTCACCCTTCCTGTCTCCAAGGGCGGTCTTAGATTTCACAGGCAAGAGCATGTTGTGATAGAGGGCGCCACCGTTGCTCGCCTCTGCGCCCATATCCTTCGGCATGTCCCCGATGATAGACTGACTCTGTCGACTCGGGCCCAGGATTTTCGGAAGTTCTTCAGTCTGCTGCTCCAGGAATTGAAATGCGAAGGCTTTAAGTTCAAGCCTTACAGCCTCCGAAGAGGAGGGGCCGCTGAGTACTACAGAGTTACCAAGAATATGCCAGCCACGCTTGAGAAAGGACGATGGCTTGACAGTGCAACAGCCCGAATCTACATTACCGAAGGGCAGCAGGCCCTGACATAATTGAATTTTCTGGACCATCAGATACGTAGATTTGAGATCCTAGGAGGTCTCCTGAATTTTGATGTGTAGGAGCGGTTCACCAGAGAGGGAAACGTGGAGAGCCTCCTCGACTCTGCTGCCCCCCTGCTCCCTCTTTTTTGTTTTTTTCGCGGGCCCCCGCCCTGGGCGAAAATCTGTGGGGCCCTTCGGGGGGCTCCGATCGGCCTCGGACCCTAGGGGGTCAGCCGCGAGCCCACTTGGGCAGGTGTGTGTGGCGGCTGCGTCGGGCTCCCCCTCGGCGCTCCCCTGCCCTGACCCCGGTGACGATCGGTGCGTCTCGGAGGTGCGATCCGTTGGGGAGAGTCCCCGCGGGACTTGGGTTCTGACAACCTTCTGGTGGGACGACAAAAAGGGATGGTAGAGGTTGAGAGAGAGCCGTCAGACACATATCCTTTAGTACTAACAGGTTGTGTCTCGCCTCACTCGCCTCGTCGTCCCTCGTCGTCAAAACCGTCTCGTCCATAGCTTCGTGCTCCCTCCCACTGACCTCCCGACAAAGATAGGGCATGTGTCTTTGGTAGGAGAGCCTCCTCGACTCTGCTGCCCCCCTGCTCCCTTTTTTTTTTTTTGGTTTTCGCGGGCCCCCGCCCTGGGCGAAAATCTGTGGGGCCCTTCGGGGGTTTCCGATCGGCCTCGGACCTCTAGGGGGTCAGCCGCGAAGCCACTTGGGCAGGTGTGTGTGGCGGCTGCGTCGGGCTCCCCCTCGGCGCTCCCCTGCCCTGACCCCGGTGACGATCGGTGCGTCTCGGAGGTGCGATCCGTGGGGGAGAGTCCCCACGGGACTTGGGTTCTGACAACCTTCTGGTGGGACGACAAAAAGGGATGGTAGAGGTTGAGAGAGAGCCGTCAGACACACACACACACATATATATATTATATATACTTATATCGGCCACGCGCAGAGGGGGGTGGGGGGAGGGGGGAAACCTTCTTAGAAACACACCTGCTTCTTAGAAGGTGCGGGCCGAGTCTAAAGATGTAGGGCCGGAGACTTCTAATAAGCACCCTCCTTCTAAGAAGCCTTCCCCCTCCCCCTACCCCCTTGTGCGCGCCGACAAATACATGTGTGCATATATATATATATACATATATATGTATATAGATGTATATATATATATATATATATATATATAGATATGTATCCCCGAAGACGCAGGACACTTCTCAGGAGGCGCGAGGGCTTCTGAGAAGGCCCGCCGCCGCCTTCGCAGACAGCCCTCGCCTTCTCGCTTCCCCCCCCCCCCCGCCGCTCGCCGCCGAGCGACGGCTGCAGTCCCTCCCTCGCTGCCCCCAGTCTTGGCCCCTCTCGATGCTGCGTGCCCCCAGTGTGGCTCGGCATCGGAGGAGGAGGAGGAGGAGGAGGAGGAGGAGGAGGAGGAGGAGGAGAAGGAGGAGGCGGAGGCGGAGGAGGAGGAGGAGGAGGAGGCGGAGGCGGAGGCGGACGCTCGCATGTGCATCGCTGCTGTTGGTGTCAGCTAGGGGGTCCCAAGCTTCCCACTTGGAAGACGCGTTGTATCATTTGGCTCGTTTCGTTTCCCCTCTTCTCCCCCCTCGCTTCCTCGAAGACATCGTGCTAGAAGAAAACGTGTGCGTGTGTCCCCGTAAGCGTATTTTCTGTACCTTGTCCCACCTTGCGCATATGAGTTTACTCTCCCCTGAGTTCCAAACGGTCCAACCCTTTGACTACCCTCCTACGTTTTGAAGTTGAAGCCCTTAACCACACCTCCCTCAGCATCCAATAACCGATCCCCATCTCCGCTGTGCCAGAGTATCTCAGCCCCACCAGCCCACCACCACAGGTTGGGATACGTCCCGCGAAGCATGGAGGGAACATCATCCCTTCCTAGCTGGGTGGGTAAATTGGCCAGTGGGGCCAGGGCCATGCCAGTTGGGATGAGGATCGGTCAAGCGATGTTCACTCCCATCCAGACTCTTTCACTAGTAGCGAGTCGGTAGAGGGTTCTAAGAGCAGCAACAGAGGCCCACTGGGTGGACGAGGAGCCCTAGTACGTTCGGTCTGGCAGCCGCTTCGCAGCCTGAGACTTCTTCACAATGTGCTGAGGAGTCGTGCTCTCGCCTCAATGCCGGCCACGGCCACGGCTGGCAGAGCAACTGTATTCGGGTGAACATGGCCGTGTTCTCACCTTTGGCCCCCTAGAGCCGGCTTCCTTCTCCTCGGCCCGCCTCTTCGCCTCTGCTGCTCTTGGGGCGCGGCACCGGGGCAGTTTCCCTCGGATCTCTTCGCGCTCTGCTATGGACAGCTGACCCGCATAGCAAAGACGAGCGACTTTCCAAGGATCACCCCTACACTCAGGAGGGGAAAAAACACACACAGACACAATTAATCGTCGACTCCCAGGAAAATATAGGAAATATGGGAAGTGGGGGAGAAGACAGAAACCCAGAAAATATGGGAAAATATAGGGATTCCTTTTATTTGTGTGTATTTATTTGTGTGTCCTTTGGCCCCTTGATACACATCCTGCCCCTTCGGCCCGTCCCTGGCCGCTTTCGCTGGCCGCGCCCTGCCCGCATAGTGTCGACACAGCCCTCTCAGGCCCTTTGCACCCTTACAGCCGGGGCCCTGAAGAAGGAACCCTTTTCGTTGGGGAGGGGCTCCGCTTTCCTTCAGTGTTTCAAAGCTGCTTCAGGCTTTCCTTAGGTTTTTCGACAGGAAATCGAAGGTTAACTTATGGGACAAAAGGGGCCTCGTTCCTTATTTTGGGTTCCTTAGGTCAACGCCCCGACTGTAGCCCTCTCAGGCCCCTGCACCCTTGCCGTGCGACCTCCTCCTACGGGCCGACTGCAGGGCACGCGTGGCCCGCAGGCTCCGGCCCGGTGCACCGCCCGCCGCCGCCCCGCGTGCCGCGTCCCGCCGAGCCGCCTCCGCCTGGGCCAGCCCCGTCCAGAGGGCGCGGTCCCCGGGCGCCCCAGCCCCGTCCAGAGGGCGCGGTCCCTGGGCGATTGCTTGGATTTCCTGGACATCCAAATATTCATCCTCATTTTCTTCACATTCCTGAGTTCTCTTCATCAATTTTCTCTGGGCGCCGCTCTCGTCGCGGCTCGGCCTTCCCTCGGGGCAGGATGCGGTTCGTAGGTTCGCCTTTCCCGCGCGCATTGCCAGGGTGGCGGTCGGAGGAGGAGCACCGCATGCTGCGGTTCTCGCACGCCAGCTGTGGCGCTCGCATGCCCGATCCCCCCCCCGTCACTCGAGTAGGGGATTGACTAACACATTGATTTACCCGCAGAATTCGTTGTCGCGTCGAAATCCATGAGGCGTGCATCGACTTCTCCGTAGATCGATGGACCTTCTACTTTTTTTGTTGTGGGCTCGACGAGGAAATCAGGTTTGGGGTCAATCAATTCTGTAGTCGATCCCGTGCTTTGGGTGGCGTATTCAAGTGGTGTTCACCACCTACCAAACCACCCCAACCCAACCCGAAGGCCTCCATTTGCCCTCCATTTCCAGTGGGGGGGGGGTCGGGAAACGCTGACAAAAACACATGGAACCCGTACCCCCCCCCAACCCGAAATTCGGGCCAAATTCGGGTCTTCAGGGTTGGGTTGGGGTGGTCTGGAGAAAATCAGGTTTGGGGTCAGTCAATTCTGCAGTCGATCCCCTGCTTTGGTGGCGTAGTCAAGTGGTTCCAGGTCCTCACACATTGGTCGCAGCAGCCGGGAGGGCGCGCACCTGCGACGCCGGTCGGCGCGCGGAGGGCATTCGGCGTAGCAACGGTACGTCTGGACTCGTCTGCAGCAGATGGCATGCGCGTCGGCATGGGGCGCCGTTACAGTCGGGGCGCTGAAGAAGGAACCCTTCTCGTTGGGGAGGGGCTCGGTGTTCCTCGACTGCTTCACAGTTTGCCTCCGGTTTTCCTGAGGTTTCCCACGGGGAATCGAAGTGTAGCTTATGAGAAGAAGGGACCTCGTTCCTTATTTCGGGTTCCTTAGGTCGACGCCCCGACTGTACGCAGGGATTCATAAGGCCACGCACTGCGAAAGCCCACTGGCCACTGCCAGAGCACTCGAGTCGCGGGCGCGACGGCGGGGGCAACACACACAAGCAACAAAATGATCTCTCCCCCTCCTCCTCCTCCTCCTCCTCCTCCTCCTCCTCCTCCTCCTCCTCCTCCTCCTCCACCTCCCCCTCCTCCCCCCCCAGGACATCTGCTTCGTGCGGCTGCAGGGCCACGGCTACGTGGTGGCGCACCCGCACCAGCGCGCCCGGTGCATCTCCCTTTCGTCCAGCATCGCGGGGGGCGCGGCGCCCACGGTGCTCGAGGATTCCGTGGCAAATCGCGGGAGCCTGGTAGACCCTCACAATCCGTCTTTAGCTGCGATTGCAGTGGAGGCCCATGCCAAGAAACACCCTCATTGCTTCCAGGGTGCCCTGGGTTTCTTGGGTTTCGATGGTTCTACGATGGGAAGCGTGACGTTCCCACACCCAAATCAGTGGACGTCCTTAGGTTTCTTGTTGAAGGTTTCTTGTGGACCGGCCTCCACTGTAGCGTCGATTAGCGTCCAGGAGTCGACGAGGCAGCGCCGATTCAGCGTTGGCCAGCGTCGATGAGCGTCGCTCTAGCGTCGATGCGCGTCGACTGGCGTCAGATGAGCGCCGACTCGCAGGTGCCGACAGGATGGTATGGGAGGCTCCCGTGAGCTGCCACCGAGCGAGGATCTATGCCTCCTAGATGGGGTCGGAGTAGATGGGGTCGGTGGATCGCGCCGCATCGCCGATGCATCGACGATGAGGCTCGACGTGGAGCTCGATTTTGTCCACGCCGACGTCGCCGGTGCATCGCCCACGTCGACGATGCATCGCCCGTGCATCGCCGATGCATCGCCGATGTATCGCCAATGCGGCGCGATCCTCCGACCCCATCTACTCGGACCCCATCTAGGAGGCCTCTAGAGGAGGAGGGCAGCCTCCACGTCACTTTCGGCGACCCCGCCCCGGGAGCCCCGCGGAGGGCGGCGCCGCCGAAGGAGGAGGGCAGCCTCCGTGTCACCTTCGGCGGCCCTGCCCCGGACGCTTCGCAGAGCGCGGCGCCGCCGGCCTCCGAGCCGAGGACGCATCGAAGCAAGCGTTAAGTCGGGCGTGTCCCTCTACAGGAGGAACAATCATATATGTATATATATATATATATATATATATATATATATAAAAATGAACATATAATGTTTGCATTTTTTTACCGCTTTTCGTAGTTTTTCTTCCCAAATCCGCCCGTAAGAGGATACGCCCAACCTGAAGCAAGCGGTGGCGAAGCACCTCCTGACTTGATTATGTTTGGATTTTTTTTCCGCGTTTCGTCGTTTTTCTTCCAGAATCCGCCTGTAAGAGGATACGCCCAACCTGAAGCAAGCGGTGGCGCAGCACCTCCCGACCTGGGAGCGGGCTGGGAGTCTGAGGTGGCCATCAGGAGCGGGCGGAGTTTCGGGACGTGTTTTGCCATGTTTCTTTTTTTTTTTTTTGGGGGGGGGGGGGGGGGGGGGGGGCATTCTCTGTGGCTGTTATCGGGCCCCGGGACCGTACAGAAGGGAAGTGGCGTGAAGAATTGCACCGCGCAGACGCAGGGAGGGGTCTGGGCACCAATTTTGAGAGGCTTTGGTTTCATCCTTCATCCCCCCTCTTCGGACCGATGTCTTGGGGTCCCAACCAGATCGGGCCCCCCAGGCCGCCGCCAATCCTGACCTGCCCATCAGCCCACCACAGACTGTTCGAAGAGCTCGTTTCGTGCTTTGCACGAGATGTTCTTCGAGGATGTCTGGCTGAGACGTACACTTGGAACATTATTTTTCTATAACAAGTCGTGGAATGCTGGGACGGTCGGCCCCGTCTCAGTCGATGACCAGAAAACTACGCGGCGAATTTCGAACGCTAAATTCGTCGATCAACGATTGAGGCAATTCGATGGGCGGCGGGGGTAGGGTTCGGACTTCGTCGGACACTTGGCGAAATCCGAACCTTACCCTTCCTCCCATGGATTCAGGAAATTCAATGTTTGATGGGGGTAGGCTTCGGATGCCGCCACCTAAAAGCGGCATGTACATCAACTTTGAGGGCCAACGTTAGGGCAGATCTCGACGGTTTTCCAGCCTTGAGGTGTTCTCCAACATCTGCGCCAGGGGTGCCAGGGGTCGTTCTGATGGGCCGCCGGAGAGCCGAGTTTGACCCGAAAGCCAGGGGGCAACCTTGAAGGGTGATAGGGCTCAGGGGGGGGATGCACCGACCCCTGATCGCCCTTCGACCATGGACACGGGCTCGATACCCCACCCCGCCCAGGAACATTCCAGTGCCTATCGCCGATCCACCAGCGATGGTTTGCCGATTCCAGTCAACGGCACCGTAACGGGTACTCACTAACGGGTACTTTGCAATTTTGCCGAAAGTTGCCACTTTTGGGCCTCTCTCTGGCAATGCAGCGTTGCCCACATCGGGAAAGGTTGGGTTCGCTGGGTCACTGGCCAAAGTACCCGTTAGTGGAGTTCCCGCTTGATGGGCGCTGATCCAGCTCGATGATGCCGGTCCCCCTCATGTCTCCCCTCAAGCTCTCGGAGGCCCGCGAGGACTTCGTGGGTCGGCGCTGGCCCCCCCCCCCCTGGCGTCGCCTCCGGCGCCGCCCCTGGCGTGCTCCGTGCGCTGGGGTGGGGTGTCCGGCGCCGCTCCAAGAAATCCGTGCGGAACTTCGAAGTGTTCATATCTATGCTTAATTCGGGCCAGTCCCTCTCCAGGAGGGATATTCAAAAATAGTCAAAACATAGTATGGGGACTTCTTTTATGAAAGCAATGTTTGAATATGTTAGGTGTTTTTTTGTTTAATGATATCTATATATATATATATGTACATACAAATATTTATTCCAAAATCCCCCTGTAGGGGGACAGGCCCGACTTCAATATATGCAGTCCTTTCTTTTCCAAGGGCTACGATGTTTCAACCTACTGGAGCCTCGATCGCCGAGCACCCAGAAAGCATCGAAGCTGTACGCTCTTCACGTGCTGGGCCCTGGGAGGCGATGCTCGTTCGGCGCCTCGCAAGCGTGTCCGGCAGACACTGCTTCGATACTGTTCGGGGTGTTCGACATCACTCAGGAATGTGGTCTTTAAGTGCGATGAGAACAGCATAACCCCAGAGGAGGTTCGAGATCAAGATCCGCAACACGTTCGTCCACGTAGACGACGAGCCTTCGGCGTGCACCCCGGCAGTCTGGGGGAGGAGAATTTGTACCGACTCCCCTTCCCAGGGCTCGTTCTCGCTTTCCTGGGCCTCCCGGGCCGCCCTCCTCTCCCCCCTTCCCTCCCCTGCCCCTCCTCCTCCGCGGTATGATTTTCAACAGGTCTTCTCGGGCTGCTCTAGAGGGCTGCGGCCGCACACACTGCAACCGATGTGCCCTCTGGGCACGGCTCTGACCTGGCCTGACCTGGGCCTCCTCGGGGACCCTCGTCGCCACAGGCGGATTCGCTTCGGAGGGCCTTGCCAGGGAGCACCCCAGTGGAAGATCCAGGGAGTACAGTCAACCCGCATGATTAGCAAGGATGGGCGACTTTCGAGGATTACCCTTGCATCCTTGCCCCTTCGGCCCATCCTTAGTGACTTTCGCTGGCCAACTTCGTTCGAAACACGCTAGCATGGCCCTCCAAGGCCCTTGCACCTTTGCCGCGCATCCTTGTTATACGGGTTGACTGGGTGTCGGTATCTTTCTGTTCCCCTAGGCAAACAAGGATCTGGCCAGGCCGAAGCGAGCGAAGACAGCGCCAGCACCGGAAGCCCTAGACCCTGGCCCGTCGGACGACGAGGGCGACGATGAGGACAGCGTCGCGGGGATCCCCTCGAAGCCCGCGGCGGACGACAACGAGGACAATGTCAGTGACCGATCCCAGGCTCGGCTGGTCCGACAAGGGTCCTTAAAAGCTGCTTCGTGCTGTGGATGTCGACTCCGCCGCCAGCCCCGCTCCTCGATGCACGGTCGTTGCCGGCGCCCCGAGGCGCCCGCGCCAAGCTCGTCAGGCCTCCCTCTGGGTGATAAGGGCACCTTCGTGACGAGAGGCCCGCCCCTGGTTTGCCACAGCGGTGGTCTCCTGATAAACACAAAGAGGTCGCTTACCAGTTGAAAAAACACAGCGATGCAACACACACACACACATCACGCATCACACACACGCGCAGCAAACAGCGCAGCAAGAAGTGAAGCACGCTTGTTGATACACATGGGTCCTACGATTTCACAATGGAGTCTGCATCGACAAATAGTGCAGCAATAAGTGCTCTCCCAAGACGCACAGCTGGGTATAGCTTTTTGTTGCGCTTGTTTGTTTGTTTGTTTGTTTGTTTGTTTGTTTGTTTGTTTGTTTGTTTGTGTGTTTGTTTGTTTGTTTGTTTGTTTGTTTGTTTGTTTGTTTGTTTGTGTGTGTGCGTGCGTGCTTGCGTGCGTGCGTGCGTGTGTGTGTGTGTGTGTGTGTGTGCGTGTGTGTGTGCGTGCGTGCGTGCGCGTGTGTGTGTGTGCGTGTGTGTGTGTGTGTGTGTGTGTGCGTGCGTGCGTGCGTGCGTGTGTGTGTGTGTGTGTGTGTGTGTGTGTGCGTTTGCGTGCGTGTGTGTGTGTGTGTGTGTGTGTGTGTGTGTGTGTGTGTGTGTGTGGGTGCGTGTGTTCGTGTTTTTGTTTCGCAGCTTGCCTGTGGGTTCTGCTCCCCTCCCCCTCCTCCTCCTCCTCCTCCTCCTCCTGCTCCTCCTCCTCCTCCTCCTCCCCTCGTCCCTCCTCCTCCTCCTCCTCCTCCACCTTCTCCTCCTCCCCTCCTCCTCCTCCCCCTCCTCCTCTCCCTCCTCCTCTCCCCCTCCCCCTCATCCTCCCTCTCTTCCTCCCTCTCCTCCGCATTTTTTTGCCAATCGGCGCGGGCCTTCGCACCCCCTCCTCCCCTCCCCTTTCCACGGAGTAGATCTTAGATGTTGTTGGCGCCTGTTTCAAGCAGGTGGAGTCTCCCCATAATCAGGACGCGCTGTTGCAGGCAGTCGCACTGAGAAGAGGTCCGGAGCCAGACCCTACCCTCCCCCCCCCTTCCGCCCAATGTCGAAACGCCGAATCAGGAAACGTTCACCATTGGCACATTTTCGCGTAAGCTGCCCGCGTAAGGTCGCGCGTGTGGCGTGTAAGACCCGTTTTTGATCGTCGCGCAATTGGCGTGTCTTTTTTTTTTTTTTTTTTGGTGATGTGGGCCCTCAGACCTGTTGCCCCACAGACGGTGTTGTCGTCCTGGGTCGTTTTCTGGTTGTCCTGCGGGCCACTGCGACTCATTCGGGCTCGCCCCGTCAGACCCCAGGCGTCCCCGGGTCTTCCTGCACTACTGGAAGTCTCGGGAGGGCCAGGAGGAGGCCGCGACGGGTCTCCCCTGTGGCCCGAGGACGGCCACACAGTTTAAACCGCTCCACCCTCGCTCCTAGATGTGCACATTTTTGATTTCGGCGTTTCGACATTGGGCGGAAGCGGGGAGGGGGTCCGGCTCTGGACCTCTGCGTAGTGCGACTGTTTGAAACAGTGCTTGTCAGGGGAGTCCTATGTGAAAGTATTAAGGGGAATCCTATGGGTAACTCTTTTGGGGAACCTTGTGAATCCTAGGGGGGAGCAGTCCGATGGGGGGACCTTCTTGGGGAGTCCTGTGCATGATTCGTTTCGGGGGGCAGAAGGGGGGACGATCCTCGATCCCAGAAGTTGGCCTCTCCTCTTCGTCCACCCCGTCTCGGGGCCTCCGCGCTTGGCTTGGCCCCAGTGGCTGTGTCCGAGCCTCGCCCTTGCCCTCTTCGGGGCCCCCAGGCCCAGAACCCCAGTACCGTGCTTGCTTGTTCCTACGGTAGGCCCGTGCAGCGTTGGCGCGCCAGCGACGCCGGCGAAGGCGTCCAAGGTCCATTTCTGCGACGCGGAAGCACCGAGGGACACGGGATCGCCACCAGACCCGACGGAACTTGACCTCGAACGATCGGGGCCGCGATCGATTTCTTGGTTGAGTGATCGACGCTGTATCAGAAACCTCTGCGCGCGCCGACGCCGCGCGAACCTGCCGGAAGGTGGACCCTCGTGCAGAGGTCTGGACCCCGTCCCTCTGGCCGGCTTCTTATACCCAGTAATTGTTTGACTTCCCTGGGGCCCAGCGAGGGCCCCTCCTCCTCCTCCTCCTCCTCCTCCTCCTCCTCCTCCGCGTCCTCCTCCTCCTCCTCCTCCTCCGCGTCCTCCTCCTCCTCCGCGTCCTCCTCCTCCTCCTCCTCGCGGCGAGGGCCTCCGGAACCCGAAACCAGTGAATCAACCGACGTCGTGTTTTGTGCACGGCGCGAGGGTGTCTCGCCCAAGACCGCCTCGGTTGCGAGAATCAGTGCAACGCCGTAAATAATCTTAAGTCGGGCACGTCCCTCTACAGGAGGAATATTCAAAATAGTTAAACGTGGGGACGTACCCAATCCTTTCTATTAAAAAAGCAAACACTGAAGGATCCGCCGTGCTCTAGAATGCTTCGCCAAGGAACGTTGGGCCAGAGTCAAGTGTTTCACATTCGTGGCCGCACTCTTAAGAGTCATATCGTTGGCAGGAAGGCGACCACGAGGGGGCTTGGAAACATCTTAATAAGGGGGAACTGGAGACATGCTTTGTGGGAGTAACGACGCATCGCGCTAGGTTGTCATTGCAGAACAGCGCCATGCGCGCTATGACAGAACAGCGCCCTGCGCTAAGCGCTGCAAGTGCCCGAGTGCACTACGGACAAGAGGCAACTGAAGAGACTATGCGGCATGGGCACATAATAGCGCCATGCGCTCCGTGGCGCCCCATCCCGCTGCGATCTGCGATCAAACAGCACAGCGAGGTCTCATGGTGGTCCCCGTGGGACACCCCTCCGCTGGCCCTCCCAGGACCCCTATAAAGTGGCGACAGCTTCGCAGGTCGCAGCCCCCCCAGGGGACGGCGAGGTCTCGTGGTGATCTGCGTGGGACCCTCGCGGCCGCATCGAGGCCAAGGCCCTGTGGCATCGGCGAAAATCTGTTGAATGACTTCGACCGCCAGAACGTCCTTGTCACAGCGGCCGCCAGAACAGCCTCGACTAAAGTAGTGCCTGATTCTATGTTCTGCCACGACCTGGGCGACTGCGCGCTGACGGCCGACCAGCTTGCGCCCCTCGGCGACGAGCATCCGAACTGGCCAAACCTCAGCGCAGAGAACCACCGCTTGGCGTCGTTGCTGACTTTGGCGATGAACAAATCGAAAGGGGACTGGGGCGCACTCAACTCGCCATGGTTCTCTTTGCTCTTCTCGCCCGGCACATTGGTCCTGGACATGGACCAGAAGACGCATTACCTAGCGGTTGCTACCACTCCGTACGGCTTCCTGGGGTACAGGTGTCTGGTCAAGAAAGTAGAGGGCATCAAGATCCTGGACCTGTCGGCTGTGGGCGCTGACCCCGTCGCATTCGAGACAGTCAGGGCGTGCGACCGTTGGGGGTGCTTCTCATTGAAACCTGTTGTGCCCGGCACTCCAGCGCGCGCAACCTTGGGCCGCCTAGGCCTGAGAGTTCAGCTGTGCGAGGAGCACAACGCGAATTTGCTGACGTTCGCAGTGCGCAGGTGGCTGAAGAATTTCACTGTGCCCTTCCTCAAGAAATTGTACGACGTGCTGGACGTCAAGCACGCGGGTGCGGAAGCCCGCGAAGGAATCCGATCTCATGCATGCAATCAGTGCGCGTGTTCTGGGCGGTGCCTTCACGGAGGCCGTCGCGAAGGAGGTCATGCTCGCCTGGTCCACCGACGTGGCTGACGACGACTTGAGTTTGAAGACCCCCCTCTTCGACGGCGACTTGTGGGGTATTCTCGACGAGGAACTCAATGGCCGCGACGTCCATCAAGAGATCGCGATGTTGGAGGGGAAGAGGCGCCAGCGAGAGGTGCAGCAGGCGCAGCGGGCCCAGAGTTTGCTGGCACCTGCTGCTGGCGCCGGCGCTTCTAGCCACCCCAAACACAAAAATGCACTCCCTTTCACTGATGGGGAAGGCCTCTCGCAGCCTGCAGCGATGCGCCTCCTCCCGCCTGGTGCATCCATGTCGAAGGAGAGCGAATGGCATCACAGGTGGAAGGCGAGGGCCCTTTACATGAGTGAGGATAAGACTAGGTCTTTTCCCCGCGACAATGCGGGGGCTGACGACAGAGCGCTGCTGTTTTTACTTCGCCTTGTGTGGAAAGCGTGGGTCGGTGACCGCGCTGACAAGTCCTGTCCGTGGGACTTGGGTGAGATACTTCTGCCGCCCGTGGCGGCCGCGCTCGCTGAAGTGCAGCCCGATCTACGCGCCGAGTCCATCGAGCAGCTCCCCGCCGTCAGCGGTAGCTTTGCTGCTGGCCATGCGTTGCACGCCCCTCCAAATCCCAACTCGCCCCCCCCCCCCCCCGCCCCGTCTCCTCCCGCGCCGCGCGGTAAGGGGCTCTCTCGCTGGATCAAGTCCCTCGGCGGCGGGAAGGGCGAGGGCGCCGTCGAGGGCGGCGTCGACGGCAGCGACGTCGGGGGCGGCGTCGAGAGCGGCGTCGAGAGCGACATCGAGGGTGGCACGTCCAAGAAGAACGAGCCCGACGACGATGAGGACGATGCTTTTTTCGCGAAGGCCAGGAAGGCTCCGCGCGTGCCGCCCGAGAAACGAATGCTGAAGGCTATGGTGCAGCAAAACGTATTGCTGATGTGTTAGGTTGAGGATCTGAGGGTTCGATGAAGTTTCGGTGATTTGATGGTTTGAAGGGGCAGCGTGTTTCAGTTTAACGCATGGGGGACGACTGCTTTGATGATATTGGCTTGAAGAAGACGGTTGACGAGGAGGGAACGGCAAGGATGACGAGGCAGAGAGGCAAGAATGGGCGCGACGGGGCG